AAATTACACGCGTATGTCTACATGATAGTATTACACTATGTAGTCATACTAAGTGTTTTACCCAGAAATTTTTTTACTGTGCAAGTGGAAAAAAGAAAACTACATTTTTACAAAAAGTATAATAACAAAATCAAATACAAATTAAAATAATAAAATAGCCTCGTAATTATTATTTTAATCCAGTACAATTATCGTATAATATATATGTCAATAATATTAATATATGCCTAGCTACAACACCGTGCAGGAATAATATATCTAGTTTATTGGATATTGGCATTGGCATTGATAACTAATTTGTTTTTCACGATAACGATAGTTGCCACCTGCAAACTATAACTATGGCTATAAATTATAAATGTTGTAATTGTTTTAAAATTAACGAATACCATGTTCGCCACTTTATAAATTTAGCATGTATCTATATCAGAAGTTTGGTTATGAAGTAGGTTGAAGACGACTGAAACACACAAATCACTTATCTATTGATAACAATTATATAATAAATAAATAATTATTAATTGGTAGAATTGTTTTAAACAACATTTAAGTGTGTAAAATAATTTAACACGAAAAAAAATAAAATACGCCGTATCAATATAACTATCAGTAAAGTTATAGATACTCCGACTCGATACTCATCGGTTTATACTCAGATGTAATAATGGTAATAATAACCACACATTTTTTATGATGATTGTTAGCTTAAAATCAAATGGAAATCAATTCGGATCATAGTTGAATGAAAATAAATACGATATGAAAGTGTTGACTAATTCGTCCAGACGTCCAGTATAGTGTAAAATCTCGAAAAACCAATTCGGTATCAACCCGAAAACTCATGCGCACGCCACCAAACTGCATCCTAAGTACAAATTACATGTAAATATAATTATATTAAATTATAATATAATATAATATTATACTAATATCAAAAATAATTACTATTCATTATTCGCGTGTGCGTAACTGTATACAATTTATTTGGTCGTTTTAATATAATTTCCTTTTTCAGAAAAACAATTTAATATTATATTATGACCGTTTATCGTGCAATATTTACTGAATAATTATATAGTTGATTGTTTAATTTTTCAAAAAACATTTTAAACGACTCAATTTATACGTGCAAACTTGAAATCGATAATTCTAAATCGGTTTGGTTCGTGTAATTAAGCAGTATTTCTGTAGGTATTTCTCGTATGGTGGACTGGTGGAGATCATAGTCGAAAATTAAATTTCAATTTAAGCGTGTAGCGAGCTCTATCCTCCAATTTTCGATTTAATCCACCCATTTACTGTATATTTATATTATATATATTTTATAAATAATTTGCATTATATTTACTGCGTATTTTAAGTTGATCGAATCGTGTGTTAAAAGTTTCTATATTTTTCACGAATTTAAATAGTACACAAGGACTTAAGAAATTTCAATACAGATATATTGGTATATAACACATTTCACGTGAGTATATTTATATGTATATGGTATTTATTATGCCGATACACCACCCCAATATTTTATAAGATGAGGTAAAATAATATGAGCATAGAAATGTATGAAAACATTGAAAACCCATTACGATGATAATTGCTTAAAGCCCCCGCACTGCTCCAATAAGTAATTTATTATGTATTTTTTATACACAATAATATCGTCTGAACCGTATTATATTTTTATTTTTTAAACTTGAAAACTAGCCAAAACCCTTATGATAATTGTCCTATATCGTGCCTCTTTAATACAACTTTTTATTTTTCATAGCTTATATAATAAAAATTAAAAATTAAAAACCGCCAATTTTGAACTCTTTGATACTATAATTTTGTATTCAAAACCATTCCTAAAGTTGAAAATCGAAGAATTTTATTGACAACTTATCGTGTACCTACTACCTACTCATACACACAAAAAAAAACACATCATAGTAAAATTAATACACCTATTGCTTCACTCTAACTGTATAACCTAGTAAATTATAAAATAAAAATGTTCCTAAATTCATATCACATAAAAATACTAAATGATAAATTCATAATAAATTAATATTAAATTGATATCTATTTAACATATTTTAATAATAATAATTTTGAATAAAATGATTAAGTTTGTAAATTAAAATGGTAATTGTGAACTTATTGTTAATTTAAATAAAATATAATTTGATGAAAGTGCCATATTATATATTTAATTGATTGAAATTAAAAGGTCATTCACTCATTAACAAAATACGAAATTTCAAAAACTACATGACCTATAAAACTGAAATTTGATATGTATATAGATAGAAAAGATCAACTAAGAAAGGATTTTGTAAAATTTGCATTTTAAAGAAAGGTTCACACTGAGATTTGAGAAATTTGTTGGCTCATGAAAAACGATTATTATTTGGTTTATATAAAGGGTAGTCATAGGTTATCAGAAATAAAATAGTTACTAAAATTGAATAAGTTTTACGCCCACATTTTATACTTAGTTAAAATAACGCCGCGCTTAAAACATTGGTTCGATAAATATATAATTTTCAATTAATAAATTTCATGTTTAATAGAGAAGCAAATAATTAAAATATTTTAACAGATATTGCAAGAAACTTATACTTAAAAAGGCTTTAATTTCATATTAAGTTACATCTAAAAAAAGTTTCACTCTCGACTTTTTTTTCTAGAAACACGCCGGGTACTTTAGCTTAAATAAATAAATACACTTTTTTTTATTCATTTATGTGCCTTAAGAAAATAAATGAAAAAAACAGTTTTAATTATTATTATAAATTACTGTATAAATCTTTACTCTCCTAATTTAATATAAATTAAGATTCATATAATCACGTGTATTTTGTTCAAGTTCATTTAAATTTAAAAACCCATAAATTTAATTCGTAAGTTATTAGTTGATAAATCATGGAAATTTATTTCACATGTATTTAAAACTTAATATTTATTAAAATATTATTAATTATAATATAATATTTAAAAATATAATTATGTTAAAAATGTCCTTAAAAAACTAAAAATATCTGTGCCTATTATTTTAAAAATAAATGTTTCATAAGCAATATTGACTATTATCGTAAAAAAACTAGACGGGTGAAGCAAATTTTTCAAGTTCAAAATAAATAACTGATTACCGAAAACTATTAACCACTTTATAGAAACTAGAAACCATTGAGGCATTGAAGTATACTAAAACATTGAAAATAAAATTCCACATCGACGTGAAAAAAATTCACGGACTCACGTAAATTTTAATTTCACACTTACCCAAAACCGGATTAAGGGTTTTTTCCGCCTAAAGGCTATAATAAATTTTTCACTTAATTCTACAAATAGATATTTTTTTTACTCCAAAAAGTGTTACATAAAAAGGGCATCTTTACTTTAAAAATTACCATCAAGAAATTAAAAAATTAAAATAAATCGATCAATATTGTATTTTTGTATTTTATAAATTTAAATTATTTTTATCAAATAAAAATAAATAATAAAATATTACATATTATAATATATTCATCATCTTATTTATATTGTTTTCTTACGTTTTGAGTTTTTTTTTTTTTTTGCAATCTTCAATAATACCGTCACAAGATAACTGATTTGTTAACTCATGTTCAATACTTCCAACGTTAAGTAATAAATATATTAACTAATAATATTTGGCTCGTTGTCACATATCGCGAAAATGTCCTCACATCATTTACAAATAATACTTATTATTAAGTTAAATTCAGATACAGGTTCTAGTGTTCCTTGATGGGCTGCCATTAACTATGAATACATATTATATAATATAATATATTCATAACTTCGACTAGTGTACGACTGCTATTTATTTTAAAGTTTAATATTTTATATTGATATTATGTTATAATATCATAACATTCATAACACATTCAAATTACTTGTGCTTGTATTTTTAAAATAATGTTTCAACGTCAAATATTATTTTGTGTTATACCATAAAAGAATATTTTGTTGGTGCCTTAACAAAATGTAGGTACTGCTGTAGCTAGAATAGCCTACGGTTTAGCGCAGTGGTCTTAAACATGCCTGCGAGCCCTTTCGATATAGCCCACAATGAATATTTATTTCTTCAACAATTTTATCTATTTTTTGTTAAAAATAAGAGATTTTAAGTATCGAGTGCAGCTCGAAAATAAAAATAAATTATTATTATTTTTATTAAAAAAAATCAATACTCAGTACAATGTACGTCTTTGTCATGATTAGAATCAATAAAAGAAATACATTTTGTCTTAATTTATTTTGTTTATTGTAGATTTAGTATTGAAATTAGTAAAAAAAAAAGGCGTCTTAAATGTACACCAAATTTAAAACGAATGCATTCTGTGCCAGCAACGAGGTACACGGAGACGATTGATATAGGTACATATAAAATATAATACCAATATGTATATAAATGTTTGATATAATATTACATAATTATCAATCTTTTAGTGTCATATTTTTTTTTTTTTTTTTGTATGGTACAAAACTAGATATAGGTACAAATGTACAATAATATAGATACAACCGTTAAATGCACTAATAAAATTCTTTTGAGTTTGAGCTAAAAGTGTTTAACATTCCGAATCCCAATTGATCCACAATCCAAATTCAGCTTCTGTCCTCACCTTCAAAGTCTATGATTGTCGATTACATTCCAACATTAGTTAAAGTAGGTCTATTCATTATTCAATAATTTCAATACATATACATCGTGATTATATCGTAAATATTATGCATTTATCACTATGAATTTGTATTTACAATAATTGAATAACCGTATGGCGTTTTAATGTTTACTGTTAAAATGTTAAACGAACAATCGTTATTCGTTTATTATCTATTAATCGTATTGGTTGTTTAGGATTTTTGATTGAAAATTTGAAATTATCGCGTCGGTCATAGGTTCACGAACACTGTAATCACCGTGTACGGAAGTCGTTGAGCGTGATAACTGATAAGGAATTCATTCGTCGGAAAATATTACTATTCATTTTGTTGTTATTAAATAATATTATCATTTATCATAACTCGCAGCCGCGGGACGCAGTCGCCAGTCACGCACTCGGCAGTCGGCACTACGCGGTCGTCTCGACTCGGCCGGTCTCACAAGTCACGGTTTCGCGGATTTTGGACTGAAATTTATCTCCGCTCTAGTATAATACATATTTTATAAGCGCAATAACTATTTTATTTTATTTCTTATTTATTACGACATAGTTACGATTGCGCGTGCGTGTGGGTGTGTTTTTATTCGTATAGTTTAAGATTTTGTATTGTCATCTAGTTACTAGTTAGTTGTCCTTAACAAACATGGTTCACTATTCGACAGAATCACGATGATGTTGATGTTACGGAATTAACGCCCGGTTTCGTTTGGATATTTGATTTGCAAACTAAACTGAGGATATTGAATTCATCTAACTGTGTTTGTGGTGAAATGCCAACACATGAAATCCTTCCCAGCAGATTATACGTGTTAAAGGCCACCATCATCATCACTAGTTTACGGTTGTGTGTGTTATGTATTATATATAAATATTATAATTAACAAGTGTTTTTTCACAGATGGTGATTAACGTTTCTGTCTCTAATCTCACAAACAATGCAGCTTCTACTGCACTAGCACCAGTCAAGTCTGTGGCAGCTCCACATCCGCCTGTGCAGTTCAGTCCATTTACTGTTGTGATCATTGTTATTGTTGCTTGTTTAATGCTCATTGGTGTAAGTGCACTATAGTTCATAATATTCTCCCTTAACATATTTATTTCAATTACATGGCTGTGATGTTTGTAGATAATAATCGTAATTAGAAGAAAGAGAAGACTCGACAGACTGCGGCATTCGTTAATACCTTTCTATTCATTTGATGCTAACGAAGAAGAAGACTGGGATTCAGATCTATTACAACATGAAGGTGGAAATCAATCCATTCGTGTAAGTGGTTATTAATATTTTTCATTTTTAATAGAATTAAATACAACTAAGCGTATTATTTCACCTAAAATATCATTACAAATATATACTTTAGTAATTTCTTATAAATAGTATTAAGTAAACTGCAACAAATATATTTTCTGGTCTTTAAAATATAATTGAACTAATTGAAGTGTTGAACAACTTAGATAATTTCAACTTTTGAAAAATCTATATAAATTATTGATAATCGTATACAAAAATCTTTACTGATTATTTGTTCTTTGTAAATTTAATGTTAAACATTTTTTGAACTTTCTTATTAAATATAAAATAACATACTTCTTTACTGCATTAAGGATTGTATGTATATAATATTGTTTACTCCTTATTAGTTGCTGTTATTATGTAATTAGTGATGCTACATTTATACAAATAATACTGATAATTTACTATTATAATCTGTAGCATTTAGAATTATATACATTTTTTATACTCTACATTTTGTAGCAGTAATATATTAGAACTTAATCACTTTCAGTTTTCAAACAAAACTGTTGTTTTGTGATATTTTATAAAATATAAATATAAATTAATTCCATTTGTATTAAACACAAGTGATTCAGTGCTCAAAAGTTTCTTGATTACAAATTACTACATACATTACTACAATGCCTACCTACCTACTTACTAATATTGTATACATATAATCGTTATACTCTTATGTATAATGCTTTATTGGATATCTTTTAGCAGCATGGTCAAACATTTAGACACGAGGGCAGTTTCCACAGCTGGCATGAGAGATTTAGTCCGATTCAAAGGTTTTTTTAAACTTTTTTTTCCAAAAGAATAAAATAATAACAATTGCTTGATGTTGTACTATGTTGAATAACAAAATGATTGATTTTGATTTCATGTATACGTCATCTATTCTTAGTAGAATTGTCTTTAGAGTAGATGGTATTATAGCACAATACATAGTGTTATCTTTACTAGAATTACCACTGTAATAGTCTGACTAAATAATAAGTAATATAGTTAATTTACTGCGATGTCATGTCTTTATATTTTATGTATTTGTTATTTCATAAAAGTTGTTATATTTGATTACAAAAACACATTAATTGCTTGATTTTATTGTCAGTCAATTATGTTCAATTTATAAAATTAACTATAAATAAAGAAAAATTCATTTTTTTCATATTTGGTTTACCAGATTATCAAACCTAACTATTTATTATCCATTTTGTAACTTCAATATTGTAATATAGATACATAAAATGTATTCTCACAATTCTGTTTAAAATGTATTTAACAAAAGCTTTTATGTAATAATTTAGATGTAGCTACAATTTTTAAAATTTATTGTATTCCAATAAAACAATTGTTTGCTTGTAGTTTTGAATTTAATTTAGTTTGGCATTTAGTAGTATCGTCTCTGATTCAACTTGGTTGTAAAAATATTATTGTTGATACTACATCTTATTGTATAATAATTTTGTAATGAAATTTTCAGAGCTATGGATCGGTCGAATTGAACATCATGGCTACAGAAATCAAAAGTAAAAAAGGATCATTCTTATGATGAAAACGTATCTGTTATTTCTACTGTGTCGAACAATTTAAATATTAGCTATTTATGAATTGTATCTTGTCTGGTCATGGTACAAGTATAATTTTGCAAATCTCCATCCATCACAATCCTATTTTCCAATCTAATGACAATCACTGTGTCACTTAAAAAATACAATCTTATTTCATTAAAATTGGAACAATCTATTCAAACTATAATCAGACAATGTGTGAGATTATTCATGTTTATAGAAATTGTAACTTTTAATGTGGTATTGTTGATATTGTTGTTAGCTATTTTTAAAATCTACTTAACTGTATATAATTATATAAGTATTAAGTATACAAATTTATACTCACCGACCACAAGCTTGAAGCTCAATATATTTACGTTTTTAAAAATATTTATTATTTTATAGCTTTTAGTAGCACCTGCTCATTGTGCTCCCACTATTTATTTTTATTTTTTATTTGCATATTATGTTTTATAATATAGTTTTGATAATATTTAAGTGTTATGCCTACTAAATTTGTATTAGCATTATTGTTTCAAATATTGTGGTGAATCTTCTGATAGTAATAATCTGGCTTTAACATTTTATTACAGATAAAAAATACATGTTTTTTACCAATTCCCAAAACCATATCCCCTATTTTGTAACAGAGCGCTTATTAACAAGTCAATTGCTGCAATATTGTTTTTTTTTTTTTTTTTTATAATTACTATTATTATTATGAAAATGTATACTCTTAACATTATAAGTTAGAGGTTTAATAATTCCAAAATGAATAATTCATGTCTGATTAAAAATTGTTATTAGTTAAATTAATATAAAACAGACTGAATTAGTTTATAGTCATTTATTGTAGGGAGTTGAATCTGCTAAATGTTTTTATAAAAATATGTATTGTGTTGATTAAAATTCACCGTTATTTGCTTATGTCTATTTACTTTAATATGCTTTTATGTTTTTTGTACTTATCCTTAACTTCTCAAAGTTGATTAGCATGATTATATTGATCATAATATTTTGTCTTAGTTATGACTTATGAATATTATCAATTATTATTACACCCCTATAGGTAGGGTTGCCATGCGTCCAGATAGTCCGTATTTTACAAAGGTAACCATTTAATATTGATACAAAAAGTTATGTTTGGTAACAGATTTTCGGGTTCACTCTGAAAAGACAATGGAAAACGTGGCAAATCAGGACCCAACATGAACTGATAAAAATTATGTGATATATTTAACCTGATAAATCGTATGCAGACATTTTATTAATAGATCTAAGTAAAATTGTATTTATGAAATAACAATTTTATTTATCTTCAATTTACCCTCCCCCCTAAACAAAACTGATATTCGAATTGGGTCTAAAAACATTATAATAAACCTATCTACAGACATATAACAGAAATATATGTCATTCCATTGTATGATTAACCATTTATAAGAAAAAGTTGGCTAGTACAAAAGATTGAAATAAAAATTTGCTTTGTGGTAAGTAACACTGTTATACTGTATAATAAAGTAATGAACATTATAAGATGTAAATGATGACCTTCAGTACTAAAACATCATTTAATTAATGAAAGAAAATAATTATAGGTAATACAAGATGATAAACTGATATCTACTAAGTACAAGCAAACAATAAATTTGAAAAATCAGAAGTCATTTTTCTATAAGTACAATTATTAAAAAAAAAATAACTGAGGGGAAATAATATTTGTTATAACACCAATTCCATCATTTTTGCATTAACTAATTTACTTCAATTGGCTACAGTATGAGATTTTTTTTTATCAATTATATTTGGTAGAAATGATTGTGACAAGGATAGTCTTTGGTTTACCTTTACCAAAACGTAAAATCTTTCTAATTCACAATGAGAATCCATGTCAAATGTTTTCTACTTTTTGAGTTGACATATACATGGTTTCCCTACATTTATAATTTATCACATCATTTCAATTTTAGTTTTATACTTTGTATACTATCTAAAAACATTTCAATCATTCAGAACTCCATGCAGTTCAACATTTAAAACTTCAATGTTCATATCATTTTTATGATATAACACAAATAATTAATTTAATTCACACTTAAGTCTAAACGCTCAAGTTATATAGGTAGTAAGATTTAGTCTGACTTATCATAATATGTAAATATAAAAATATATAATTTACTTAAAAGAAAGTGGAGAATATTTTTTTTTTTTTAGTAAAATGTTTTTTGTTTATTCCTACTAAATCACATAAATTATAATTAATTTAATCTATTTTAATCCTGAAATTATTTTATATTTTCAGGTACAATAGTTGTTTTCAAATATAATATGAAAGTAGTAAGTATAAACCAACACAATTTATCCAATACACATGTAAGATTCATTTATTTTGTTTTTTTTTTTTTTAATGTGTATCTTCAGTACATGTATTAATTTATAACATAATTAAAAAATAACTTAAAGTATGTGCCAAAAAATAATAAGACTGATTAAATAAGTTTTTAAAACAAATATAATGGTAGAATAGGACAATCAGAAAATAAAAAAAAAATATATATATATAAATATTTATATATGTATAAAAAGTCATCAAAATTACTTTCAATAATAGTAGAGAAACTACTATTTATACATAACATCAAAATAAATCATATACATGACAAATGAAAAAAATTAGATTAACAATTGTATGGTTGATAATTGCTTTACGTGTTTTTAATATTTTTATTTCTTAAAATGTTTCATTTTGAAAAAACCATTTTTACAAATTGTTAATTATTTTCATAAAATAGAACATAATAATCATAAACCTATTCTAAGCTTATATAAATATTTCCGAAATCAAAAAATTAAAAATTAAAATTATTCTTGATCCTTATTAAATAAATGTAAAATTAATGGCGAAGTATATAGTATGAGACATAACTAATTTTTATTTAATCTTCATCCTCTACTTCATCTTCCTCCTCGTCATTATCTTCAGCAGATTCTTCTTTCTCCACCTTCTTTGATGGTGGTCTGCCTCGTCCTCTCCCCGACGACACAGCCTGTAATAATAATAAATTTTTAATGTTAAATTATTAAGATATATTTTTAAATTGCGAAATTTGTCTTGAACTTACTTTGGCTTTCTTTTGACCCTTCTTAGGCCTTCCTCGGCCTCTTTTAGCTACGGGTTCACCATTTTCACCTTCTTTTTCAATCTTTTTATCAGCCTTTGCTGGTAGTTTACCTGCTGGTCTGCCGCGTTTTTTAGTTTCTTTGTCTTTAATGTCTTTGTCATTTACCTACAATTTACATCATGCTTAATTAATAACATGAAAAGGCAAGTGTACATCATCTAAGTCTTAATAGAACTTACGTCATTTGATTTTGGAGCTCTTCCACGATTCCTCTTTTCTGCAACAACTCCATCGTCAGACATTATGCTTATTTGTTTTAAATACGATTAATATAGTCAATAGTCTGAAAAAATAAAATAAATAAATTATTAAGTAATAAAATAAATATTGAAGAAAAGAACAGTTTTAAAATACTATCTGTTAATACTTTTTTAATAACAGATAAATACAGATAAATAGACTTTATTGACATTTTTTTATATATAACAAAATTAAATACAAATGAAAAAGTCAAACCCACATGTATTGTTTCAGTTTTACAAACACAATATAGTAAATTTGTGTGCAGCAAAATCGATTTTGTGGTTTACGTTATCTCTATTAGAGTGAATTGACTGTTATTAAACTTAAAGGTAAGATTTATGTTTATAAGTACACAAGTAAAATAAGGTATAAAGTAAGTAATAAGTAAATCAATATTTTGTTTTCCATTAGTTAGGCCACCTAAGAACGCCGAGAAATTAATCAATAAAGCCGCCAATTTAGTATAAGTAGGTACATATATGGGTTTTCAAAAGTATCTAAACATTGTTATGACTACAATAAAACTATAATAACTAAAAAAATTTAAGTAAGTTAAAAAAAATGCAGTTCCATGATATATTATATTACATTAATTTTAAGGGAGAATAAATTTAATACGTATACAACAAAACTTCCAAATATGCCAATTCTTAAAGATTAATGAATACATTGTTTATACGCGCCGCGACGATCAATTAAACTTTATTAAATTTTTTTCTGTTGATCAAACAGAACGCCAATGTAACACGATGTCAGTTTTATCCCATTAACCCATAAATAAATAAAATATGACTAATTTCAATTGAAAGACATTATTCCAGTAAAATGTATAATATAAATAAAAAAAAAAAAACCAAGATGTGTTTCGTTAAGGTAATAATATTTTATTACCTAAAATAATACTTGTGTTACAAATTATCAACACAATTAATTACGATAAATTGTCCCCAACAAATACGCGCGCTGAGCCTCGATCGATACTCGCACTGAAATTGTGATTGGATGACTTGAGATATAATTTAATATTAATTCAATATTTTAGGTTATAAAAACAATTATGAGATGTTGAGAGAGAAATACGGCGACGAATAGAGCAGTAGGGTCGTGGATGTAACGTAAAATTTTTCGACCCTTAAACGACGTATCCCTACATCCCCTCGTCTGCTGCGAGGGAGGAGCAAGTACGATTTGCTCAAATCCACACAATCGGGATTTTCCTCTCACCCCAATATCGTCAGACATACGAAATACGCAAGTATTGTTATTTGTTGCATCACATACGATGTCTTTCATCCGCATGATTTACGATTTACAAGGGATATAATAACATTTCCTTTTGGTAACTAAATATATATATTTTTAAACGAAAATGATTTTGGTGTGATGAAGTAAAATCGGAACATTTATATTTTTATAATGAACTGTAATAATGACAATGCTATTCTTTTGTTATCGTCAAGTTTATTTTTACCCTGTAAAATCCGATAAAATAATAATAATTTAATTTTTAAATTAAATTTGATAGGTAATCCCAAAACGTGCATAGTTACCTACATATTGCATTAATAGATTATACATATCAAAATCATAAATGTCATAGTAATGCTGTAAGACAAGATATTGAGATAAAACAATATAATTGAACAAAATTAATATTAACTCAAAATTCAGAGATAAAAAAAATCCAAGAGTGGCAATGGACCTATTGTCAAAAATCAATTTTATGTCAAAAAAAAAAAAAAACAACCATTAAGTCGTAACGCGGCGGACGAAGCAGGTAAGTTTAAACAAATTTTAACATCCCGCCCTCCAAAAAATCAATACGCACACGTAGTCCACTAATAAACGAATACGGGGCGCAGGTTCCCTCCAGAAATCTATTATAGTGGTAGCTCGTCAGCGACGGCGGCCGTTAAATTTTAAGTACCGCCGCCGCTGTCCGATTGGGTCGCTATAAAAACGTTGTTCACAGTCAAGACAGTAGATCAATGAACAATAAATCTGATTGTCACATCAATATAATCATCAATAGTAATAAGTAATAACACAGGAAAAAAAATTTAAGAACACAAAGCACGGCCATTTTGATCGATATGCGCCGGGTAAAAAAGCAAAGGAAAAAAATGCTACGCGTCCAAAAATAATGATGGTGATAATAAAAACAATAATAATAACGATAAATATAAAGCCGCCGCCCATGTCGACGATATTATTTATCAGCGCGACAGGCGACAGAGAAACCGCGAAAACGGTATCAGTTCGGGCGCCGTCTAAATTAAATGAATAAATGTAAAATTTAAGTGCGCGCGCAATTACCGGTGGCGCGCGACGTCGTGACGTACATTACCGCCGTCGTGCCGCTCGTAAAATAATAACAGAGAATACGCGAATTTACGCAGTTTCAATTTCGAATGTTTTTTTTTTTTCTGTCAGCACGCCATAATGAAAAAAAAATGTTTCAACGAAAAACTGTGAAATTCATTACGACCTACGAGCACGAAAAACCGGCGAATGAATCGACGAAAAAGTAACTAAAATCAACAGAAAAGCGCGTCGCGGCAATTTTGTAAAAAAAAAAAAAATGTATAAAAATAAATTAACCCCCAATTTACGTACGAATTAATTATTTAATATTTTTAATGATCGATATTCCATACGGTACCTGGTGATGGCGGCGGGGGTGGCTTCACTGCTTCGAAAATATAATAGTAATATTATGTCGAGTGCAAGCAACTACAACACCGGCGTGGAAATGCGGAACGGACGACCTGAGACGGACCAGAGAAATAGCGTATGTTTACAAGCGTACACACAGTATACGAGGCGGCGGTTTGTGAATGGCAGTTAATAGTGTTATCCCGCCACCACCGTCGTTGTCGGCGACGGCGTGCAGTGTCGCCACGGCCGCCGCGCGAACAGTAAACCGCTCCGGGATGACACTGTGCACATCAACGGCTTTTGTAAACCATGCTCCACTTGAGCATAATAGTAATAATAATAATATTATACTATTTACTTTTAGATATACAGAGTGATTTACAAAGCACGCTCATCCCGATTTTTTCCTCTGACATTTGACAATGAATTTATTCGAATTTTGAATTTTTATGTGTACATAATAACATTAGAAACCATATTTTCGATTATTTTTATTTTTTTTTATGCCATTCAAGAGTGTCCCTTGGTAATTTAGACTTATTTTTCAAAAAAAAAAAAATCGATCGTCATTACTTAAAAATTGTTTTGAAAATGTCAATATTTCCAATTCGAACGTGCGAATTTAGAATAATTAAAATTCGTAATCAATACTGAGGATAAAAGTTCTCAAAACTTGTTTAAAAAAAATAAAAATATTATTTTATACAATATATATTGAATTTACACGATCTAGTATTTATTTTACTCTGACAATTTTTACAAATCATAAAATGTTTATAAATAAATATTGATTACTAAAACATTAAAATCGTCTTAAATCCAGTGACGTTACTTCAAATATTGGCCTGGGATCGACATTTTCAACAGCCCCCCTCTTATTCGGCGAGCATTGTATAGAATTCTGATTTCTGAGAGAAAGGACGTGCATTCATCTAACTAAAATTATTTTGTGCATTTTTCTAAAAATATTATTACATGTTTTATTATTTCAAAATTTTATAATAATTTTTAATTATTAAAATATATTATTAATAATTTTATAATTTATTATAAATTTTTAAAAGGAAAACATTGTATTGCTTTGGGTTCCTATATGACGCGTACTTTCTGACCCTTCTTAGTTACACCACTGCTTAAATCCTATGCTTGGTGAAATCACCTTGTATATTATTATTATATGGTTTGAAATCGAACGAGCTCCGCCATTTTGCACATTTTCCCGCTTTGGAGGGTAAGTTTGCGAGCGGTTTGTCATTCGTTAGTTTCGACTACCGTCCAACGGCCGTCTACTCAATACTCTATTACAGTAACAGTATATAGTATATACTATGTAGATTATAGAGTGTATACCATACCACACTACCACAGTCACGGACGGACGACGCTACCGCCAACGTCGGGTGTCCGACCGGACCAAGGACAATTTATTATTTATTATATTCATGAATTGAATTTGTAGTACACACTACACTGTGCGCGTCCAGACGACTATTACCCCCACCACAATCCAACGACTACATAACGCCGTTTTATGTTGACATGTGGTGCGTTTCGGGCTTCGGCGTTACACCATGCCACCATGGGCCACTCGCCTAATAATTATAATAATAATAATACATTATTCTATTATTATTATTATTATATAATTTATTATTTTTTTGTATACTGCGCCTTATTGCAGTTCTATTCGTATTCAGAATTCTACCAAATATTGTTATTTATTTTTATTATTATTTATAATACGTTGCATGTATTTTAAGTATAAAAGCTGTTGATGTATTACATATTTTAAGTATCGAATGTGTAAGGTATACAGCATATTTTAAAGACTTGAAATGATAATAATATAATGATAATGAATCATTATAAACGGATTCCCGTTTATAATAAATAATAAAAATGTTTATTATTAAATTAATAAACGATAAATTTATAAATAATAATAATAAAAAATAATTTAAAAAATCATTAATAATTTAAAATAATAATATATAATTATATATATATGTATATTATTATTATTACGTTTAATAATTTAAAAATAATTTACATAAATTAATTATTTATAATTAGTAATTATTAATTTATAAATTTATATATTTAAATTTAATTAATTAATTTAAACATATTATTTATTAATTATTTTTTTTTTTTTTAATTAATAAACGATTAAAAATGATTATTAGGTATAATAATCATTATAAACGGGAACCCGTTTATCATTTTCTATAATGATAATTTTAAGACTTTTAAACTGCGTCTATCTACACCAGTCGGCAGTTTTTCTAATAAAAGGCTATGTCATCTTTTTGTAGGTGTTACAGTAGGCCTCTGGGGAGTTGATAGAAAGCTCCCTAAAATTTGGGTACGCTGAAGCGGGCTTGTGGGCAATGGCTGATTAAAATAAGGTGATTATTTTTTTCTAATATTCTAAACTAAAATTGAATACCTTCTACATAACACAATACACATTATTAATTTGGTCTTTAATCGAAGACGAAATTCCAAGATTTCATACTAGAATTTTATAGTTGGCGAACAGTAGTCACTGGTAAACTGCTGGTCTCCCTGATACACCGACAAACGAACGCCTGATGATAGGTAACAATGTTTATTTAACTCTATTGAATTATAAATATTATAAATTTACTTTTATGATTTAGACGTCAACATTTTTTAGGATTTGATTTTTAACTTTATAATATTATACTCTAATATATAGTTAAATGTATTACATTGCATTAATTTTTATAAATAATTAAATCATTATTATATCAACAAAATAAACTTACTATAATCACTTAATATTATACGCACGAATATGACCAAAGTTGATCAAAATAAATACTACATCAAACGTAAACGTTACCAACGTTATATGACTGATCATAAAATTCTACAAATAAAAGAAATTTTCTTGAAATTTGACTATATTCGTCTGATAAACAGATAATTTGTACTTGGCACTACATTAATGTCTCAACATTTTCGAAAGCTAAAACTAAATTCAGTGTTATAATAATCTATGAATATCCTCTAAATCTAAAAGTTAGGTTAGGTTAAGTAAGATAGTAAGACTAATATAATATTACTCCGGGGTATCGAATATAATATTATACAGAATCATTACACCGATGCATCGATTAACCGATATATTCAATACTATAGAGGAGGAGGTATCGATTCAGAATTAAACTAAAACAAAATTAAAAGTAAGGCTTATATATATTAAATTCAAGCTTAGTATTAAAATAACTCTTAAGTATGACTAGTATGAGTATCAAATACTTTTTAACATTTCAAAGATTTGTAGGATAGTTCAATAAATTAAATACATAATATTATATAAACACAATTCGTGACAATGTGACATCAATGAGTAAACAAATTAATAATTGTTATTGTTGTGGTTTGAGGTGATGACGTATGTTATAAATAGAAACAATTTCGTTTTTTAACCAATATGATAAACAACGAAAATAACAAGGTAGTATCAGTTAACCAATAGTATCGATTACTAATCGATACTATCGCACAGCCCTATTTTTGACACTCAAGGACTCAACTTATTAACTACAATTTCCTACCAGAAATCACTTATTTAGCACTTGGAAATTAAATATTAAAACATTTTTCTACTTAAAAGAGTGTCTTAAATCATGAAAAAAAAACAAACTATATTAAATCCAATCGTTCGGAATATAATAGTGTGTTTAATCATCGATGTGTAACGTAGGTATTCATACATATTTATACCGCTCTTGTAAACAAAATGGGATAATATTTAATATTAATAAAAAAAACTATTTATCTGTCGGCAAATTGGGAATTTCATCAATAAATTGGAATATCGAAGAATCAATTTTACTAGCGATGTTGCGGCGTACAACGTATCTTTAGAGCCTACACTAACGCTGAAAAATCGGTTACATATTTACACCCTAAGGGCTTAGAGTATTACCTATTTTCTGCAGCTGTCTTTTGTAATAGTCCCGACAGTCCCAATCTCCTGTTTCAAAGCACTATAGACTATAGTTATATAATAAATATATAATACATAACTGCTTTGGTTGTATTAAATATTGTTATATTTAATAAAATACAAATGTATGTTCTTACATATAACCATTGATTATAAATACTATATATAATTAATGATAGAACTTATACCATATTAATTATAAATAGATAATATCTTACAATAAATCAAAAATTTCATTGCGTATATTAAAATTTATAATTTTATAATATACGTAAAAGTTTTAAGTTCCCACAAATAATGTTTTTAAATAACAAACAACAAAATTATTAACATCGTTATTTATCGTTTAAATAGTAATTTCAAGTAATTTTATCCAAATTCTAACCTCAAATGCATCTAAAGCATTTTTATTTTTTGACTGTCCCAAAAGATGACGGCAGACAAAAAAAACATAATTTTAAATCAGTACATTCATCACTCCCACTCAGAATCTAATATTGTAATTAATTTTACTATTATATGAAATTTCAATTTTTTCCAAGATTTTATTTTGCTATTAACGGTAAATTATGTCAGGGTTATTATATTACTCTGATCTACAAAATAATTTTTTTTTTTTTTAATCATCAAAGTTGAGTATTAACTTTTTTAAATCAATTTTTTGTGCTGATTTCAAACTAGTAATTAGATTTTTTATCATCTTAAGTTTTTAATTATAGTAATTTCTTTTTTTTATGAACAATACAATTATTTTGAAATAAAATTACTAAATTGAATTTTTATAGGGTTTTATTTTACCTAATTTTTTCATTGGTTAAAATTACATGAGTTAAGTATTCTAGCCTCTATGAATTAATTCAACAAAATATTTATAGTTCAATAATAAAATTTAAAATTATTTATAGTTTACAGATTTAAAAATGTTGTGAAAACTATTTTATTTTATTTTTTTTGTTTGTTTATTTTTTATCTGGTATATCACAGTATAACATTCAGTAATAGTCTGCCAACATACTTTTATTTCAAAATCCCTGGTAATAAATTTCCATTAACTGGGTGTCTATATAGATAAAAAAATATTCTCTTTGCATCCATGTTTCCGGAAAAAATCTAAGTGATAGCATTAAAAATTAATTTTCAATGATATTTGACATCCCAGTTTATTAGATGCTTTTAATATTTTTATAAATTTTGAATTCCATCCTTATATGTA